CGTCCATCTTCCGTCTTCCATTCTAGCAACATGTCCAGCCCACCTCCACTTTTGTTTATTGATTCGCAGTATAATATCGTCTACGCCAGTTCGTCGGCGTATCTCCTCATTTCTTACGCGATCTTTCAAGGTCAGGCCCAGCATTGATCTCTCCATTCGCCTTTGTGTTACCCTCAGTTTTTCGGCAGTAGCTTTCGTTAAAGTTAAGGTCTCTGCTCCGTAGGTCAAGACTGGTAAGATGCATTGGTTAAATGCCTTCCTTTTCAGGTGAATTGGGATATTTGTTTTAAAAATGTCTCTCATCCGTCCATATGCCGCCCATCCCAACGTGATTCGTCTATTTAGCTCGCAGGTTTGGTTGTCTCTGGTTATTCTAATTTCATGACCCAAGTATGTGTATTTATCGATTAATTCTACCTTGTTGTTATTGATCTGTATCTCTTCGCTGGGAACCATATTGGTCATCATTTTGGTTTTCTCAAAATTTATCTCCAGCCCAGTTTCTTGTAGTATGTCATTCAGTTCTTGGAGCATGTCTTTGATCTCTCCCAGATTATCTGACAGAAGCACGATATCGTCCGCAAAACGTAGATGGTTTAATCTTTCTCCATCGATGGATATTCCTTTCTGTTGCCATGTTAGTCTTTTAAATGCATACTCAAGAACGGTAATGAACAGCTTTGGTGACATGGTATCACCTTGCCTGACTCCCCTTTTTATCTTTATTTTATTAGTTGCAGAATATAGACTTATGGTTGTTGTGGCATTTTCATATATATTTTTAATTATATTACAATATCTGTGGTCGATCCTGCAATCTTGTAGTGCTCTTAAGATGGACGGTAGTTCCACTGTATCAAACGCCTTTTTAAAGTCTACAAATATCAATGCCAAGGGACGGTTATATTCGTTAGTTTTTTCTATTAGGGTTTTTAGGCACTGCAGGTGATCGTTTGTGCCATAATTAGGGCGGAAACCAGCTTGTTCCCGAGGTTGGTAAAAATCCAGCTTTGTCTCTAATCTATTCGTTATTATTCGGGTGTATAATTTATAAAGATGGTTAAGGAGACTGATTGGTCTGTATCTTTCCAGGTCTGCTATATCTCCCTTCTTGTGTAAGAGTACAGTTATTGAATTATTCCACTTTGTTGGGATATTTTGATTCCATAGGCATAGATTAAAGAGCTTTTGAATTTTGGCTATCAGTACTGAGCCTCCTAACTTTATCGCTTCCGTGACGACACCGTCCTCCCCCGGAGCTTTGTTATTCTTCATCTTTTTTAGAGCCTTGTAAATTTCGTCCAAGGAGATTTCTGGAATATCTTCGGAACCCTGATTTTGGACCTTCCTCTGTTGATATTCGACTATATCTAGAGTCGATTGGTTGCTATATAATGTCTCATAGAATGATTCCACAATTTGTAACAAATGTTCTCTGTTTGATGTGATGTTGCCATTTCTATCCTTGAGTTTGACTATTTGTTTATTTCCATTTGTGAGTTTGCGTCTCATTATTTTCATACTCTTATTTTCCTCAATGGTTTTGATGATTTTCTCATCTTTGTATTTTCTTAAGTCTTTTCTGATTTCTCTTGATACTTCCTTGTTCATTCTATTTATATCGTCGTTACTAGAGTTTTCGTCGCTTCTCAGTATTCTTCTTTGTTCCATTTTTTTCTGTGTTTCCAGACTAATTTTTTCTTCCTTCACGCTTTTTGGGCAGCATTTCTTTTGAGCTTCTGTTATTGCTTCTACTATTATGTCATTTAGAATGTTAATATCATTTGTTGATGATTTTTCTTGAAGGAATTTACCGATATGATCTTCAAAATTTTGTTCGTTGTTTGGATGTGTCCATCTGTTTATTTGCTTCTTTTTTATCATATTGTGTCGTTCATAGTTGGTATTTAACACAAATGGTGGCTCTCACCATACGATGGTCGCTTGATTTCACAAATTTATTTAGCACTGTCACATCTGTAAATATGTATTTTTTATCAGTGATAAAGTAATCGATCTCGTTTGTCGTGTTCCCATCTGGGCTTTTCCACGTCCATCTGCGGTGAGGTTTCTTGTAGTAGTAACTGTTCATTAGGAATAGGTTTTTCTCTAGTAGGAAGTTTAAAAGAGTGTCGCCACGGTCGTTCCGTCCCTGACTTCCAAAATTTCCAAGAGCAGTTTCTGCTGGATCCAGCAGAATCATCTGCTGGATCCTGCTGATCCTGCTAATCAATATCATTGGTAAATAAACACCAATACTAGAGTCTAAAGTAGAATATGCAGTTTCTAGTTAAAAAAATTATATATTTATGTTTAGTGACAGTCCATACTCTTTGTTAACTTCAACGACTGCATTAATAAGCTCCTGTAAATCTTAATAAGTGTTCTGGCCATCAGCATTTAATTAATTCCATATTTTTGTTCTGCTTATGTTTTATTCATATCTTCCGAATACATGTTAAACAGTTGTCTTTTCCTTTATCTGAACTACTGTATACATGGTCTACTTTGTCCAGCAAATTTCAGTTTTATTTAAATATTTCTTTTCTTATAGTTTATTTTTATGAACGAGAGAGTAATTAGCATAATTTTAACTGGTATCTCCGACCACTCCATGGGCGTGCTCAAGATTAATTAAAAAATTACTTTGAATAATTGTAAAAAATAAATGAATTATTTCAGTGTTATAAAGTGTTATGTGTATGTAAACAAAAGTGACCTCTTTTATCACACACTGTATTAGAACTGACTGGCCTACTTAAAAGGGGTTTTAAAAATTCACATTTTTTTTAATTTTTAAAAATTACAAAAGAGAAAAAGAGTTTTTAAAACCGTCTAAAGTATGTTAAATAGATGAATAAAAATATTAATATAAAACTTACAGCTACTTGTTACAAATCCAAATCAGATTCAGAAGATGAACTTTCAGAACCAAGATTTATAATAACTGGCTCGATCATTTTATCAGTAATATTGTCCAGCTTCCACATTTTTTCCTCTTCTTTAATAGTGTGATTTACTGCCTTTTCCCAGTTTTCAGGTTTTACATTATTTACGGCCTCCAAAAACAACTGTTTAACATCATGAATTTTAAAGTGGTATTTTTTCTTGAAACTTCACTCTTTATCTGTGCCCATACCAGTTCAATCGGGTTTAATTCACATGATATGGTGGGGATCTAAGTACTGTCATTCCACGATTTTTGGCAATTTCATCAATTTCGTATTTTTTAAAATTTTTCTTTATAAAGGGCACACAACGAATAAAGTTCCTTTCTTATAGATCCGGGATGGTACGTAATATTTTTTGAACTCAGTCAATTCTGCAAGTCTTTTTTTAACCACTTGAATGTCTGAACTGCCAATGTGTACTATTATCAGACTGCGTCCCTTTCCTGATGGTGGGTTTAAACCAGTAGATCAGTTATTTACAAAAGCGTGCCTTTGACTTGTAACAGTTTCATCCTGCCAAAATTTATTTGGTGTATGACCCTCGTTGATCCATGTTTCATCAAGATAAAATATTTTTCTTTTTTGGTTTCTCATTTCCTTTATGGTTCTTAGAAAATGTCTTCTCCATATGACAATATCGCTTCTTTCTAATAAAATAGACTTTCTGGGATTCTTTTTCCAGCGGAAGCCTATTTCTTTTAAAAGTTTCCATAACGTACTTCGACTCATTTCTGGGTAATCCTTATCATCTCGAACTGAGACAAAAACTTTATCCAATGTTGGAAATTCTTGTCTAAAGAAGAATTCATGCACTTTCCGTCGAAGTCCTTCTTTAAAATGATATTCTATTTGAAATTTTGGTTTCCCTGGAGCATTACGTGGCATTTGAAAACTACCACATTTCTCTTCTTTAATAACTCTGTAAATCGTAGATTTCCCAACACCAAGTGTACTGCTAACTAACTCAACGGTCTCATCAACACTTTCACATAAACGTTTGTCTGTAAATGATTTAAAACAAATAAATATTAATGTTTTTTCATTAACTGTTAAAGGATCAATTTTTCGGCGTTTACACGGCACTTCCAAATTTTCCATAACACTAGTATACACAACACACTGCACCTTGCAACTGAAGTACCTACTTTTAGTGAACTGTTAAGAATTTTGAATACGCCACTTGGACCTTCCTACAAAATGGAAAAACCCACTATCACATTTTCTGTGGAATAAGTTTAGAAGGTAATTATCTAGTCAATTACTGTCGTAGATTCCTGGAATTAAAGAATTAAATGTTTGATTGTTGAAACCCTTACTTCGTGGAATGCACTCATTTCAGATAAAATAAAACGTTTTATTTTATCTAAAGAATTAAACTTTATTTTGCATATAGGTAGGTACTTATTAAACTTTTATTGGTTATATAAAACCAATAAAATAAACATCTTACATTTCTTGCAAATTCATTAGTACCTGTTAACCTCCATCACTCCGACACTGGCAACCTTATTTAGGGATTAGTAACACTCCCAAGTTTTGTATTCTATTCTGCTCCAACCTTTATACCTGGTGGTCATACTCAATTTAAAATTGTTTTCCTATGTACTTCTGTAAACTTGTTGACAAATATCTGTTTTTCATTGAGTCACCCGTATCAACAGTTTAGGGATTTGCATACATAATTTATTGTTTTATTACTCTCTCATACATAAAAATACACTATAGCACATATAAATAAATACAAAGATGGTTTTGAGAACTCGCGAGATATTAACAGAAAATGTATTATCATTTTTTTATCACAATCTTTAACACAGTCGAGAAAAAAATTAAATACGAGGTGGGCAAAGTTGCCCCGAAAAAGTTCAACATTGCCCACCTATTTTAAATTCACTGTACAGCAAAATTCAAACGAACTAGGACTACTGTTCCTACGGCATACGTTTTGAATTTTATTTTTTAATAAAAACTAGAACAAAAAGCTCTATTTTTCTTATTTTTTAAGAGTTTTTTTATTAAATACTTTTATTGCAAAATTACAAAAAAAAAATGATTACACTTTTATTAAAAAAAAAGGTAAGAAAAATTATAACTGAAAACAACTTAAATTTTATTTAAAAGAAAAATATCATCTTCTAGTTTTGGAAGGTTCCTTAGGTCTGATATGTTTGGATAAACAAAATCATTTATATACACTTCATCTAATTTATATACCGATGCACGACATCGGCGTCATAGCCTGTGACGTCACATGATACCAACACAAACATTTAGGGTGTAGGTGTGTTCTTTTTTAGAATCACTTTACCGAGTACACTGGCATTACAGCCACTAAACATATTTTATTATATACGCGTAAAAATAATATTTAAAAATTTCTATTTATGTTCACTTAATTAAATACACAATAATATGTTTCATTTAATTTGTATAAATGCATTATAAAGCGTTTTTATTAAGAACATTTGTTCGGAACACACTGTAACTGTAATCGAACGAAGGTAAAATTTTGGCATAAATTGGTAAACACTTATTTGACAGTTGCGGTTTTGACACTTTTTGTACTTCATTATGTTGAATTTTAAAGTGAATATCTCTTGTTTTATATTTTTAACTATTTAATAAAATCTGTTCTTTTTAGAACAAAATTAGTGTGTTTTATTTCAAAAATGTCACGTAAGAATTTAAATAGTCGTTGTAAAGAGATGGTAATACTTTTGCAATAAATTATGTCATATATTTGATTTAAAATGGAGTCAGGATTTTTTTATACTTTGGCAACTATGTCAACTTCGATCTCTGACGTAGATAATGACGTAAATCGTTATCTAAATTAGATGAAGTATATATATATATATATATATATATATATATATATATATATTATATATATATATTTTAATTTTACAGTGTAGTATATATTGTCGTCATTTATTTCTACTATAATTCCGATGAAATGTTTAACGCTTTTTTTTGTAGGAAATTGAACCACCACCCACTGGTACAAAAGTACCCATTTTTAGATTATTTTAGATTTATTATATATTATTTTAGATTATTTAGATTATTTTAGAATCGATATTTTTATCGGACTCTATATTTTCAAATACTTCATCCTGCTCTTCTTTATGTAATTCGTCTGCCTTCTCACCATTATTATCGTCACTGTTATTCATCTCTACCTCCATTTCTTCTGCTAAATTTTTGTCGTCATTCGTCTCCAGCTCTATTTCTCCTTCTAAATCCTCATTCCCACTTCCCCCTTAATTCTGATTAAGTTCTTCAAATTGAACTGATTGACCGGGTTTAGTATTAAGCAACTTTTTCTTTCATTTTTAATGGTATACTCTTTCTTTTTTTGTTGTAAAAAATTTAATAATGCATTATCAATTTCAGAGCTTACTCTTTTTGCAAATCTCTCATTCGGCATCTTTTTTAGCACTTCTTGTGGGTCAAAGGGACAAATTCCAGTTACGCGAAATGAAATTTTTTTGAATGTTTGGTTCAATCGCGTCTATTAGTTTTGATAGAAATTGAGGAAATATGATTTTTTCAACTGAATTTAAGTTGACTAGTTTTTAAATTAGTAAGGATCATTTTCCAGGCTCTTTTTAAAGGTCTAAAAAATCCAACATCAAGTAGTTATGTAAGCCCTCTAGAATTAGGTGGCAGAAATACAAACCTTATATTTGCCCTTCGACAAGCCCTTATTATCTCAATATTCAGATGTGAGGACCTCCAATCAAAACCTTGGTGCTGTTATCCCATTTTGTTCTATTATACAATGTACGAGGGATCATATAATCCTTCAGCTTTATAAACGACATACAGTGGTAGGCGTTCTCTTGTTGCGGTGGCTGCGAACATTAGAGACACTGCGCTTTTAGTGGCATTCGTGTATCTTTCCGGGTATTTTGTTCCACGTCGAAATACACATTTTTGGGTACCTCTATGATATTATAGCTCTATGATAATATCCCTCTATGATTTCTTCAGCTTTGGCTGCCCTGGATCGTTTAACCTTTTGGTAGTGCCTTTAAGTTAAAATGTGCTTATGTCGTGACAAAAAAACTTTGACCCAGTCACAACTAGGAAGGTTGTTGTGGAGAAATAAACAACACGAGTTCCTCTGGCATCTATATATTGTGTGATAAGCATTCTAATATCTAGGTTTGTTAAAGCAACAACATATGCTGCACTTGCCATAGCAATATCCACTAAATGACGTTCTTTTATTTTAGTGAGTGTAAGGGGATGGCAAATGGAGGAATTATGCGTTCGTCTAATTTTGTTCCTACATATAATCAATGATTTTTGTTCCTACATATAATCAATGAGAGACTGAAAACATTCCTTCAAAGAGAAATTCCACAAGATCAAACTGGATTTACCAAAGGTAGAGGCATTCGAGAACACCTGCTGAATATAAGACAGATAATCAAGAAATCTAGGGAATTCAACATCCCACTATACATCTGTTTTATAGATTACCGTAAAGCGTTCGACAGGGTCAAGTGGAGACACTTATGGCGAATACTAAAAGAAGTAGGCGTACCACAACATCTAATTACGCTTATAACCGAAC